TCAGGACTGAATTAGACTGTTCGAGGGGGGAGCAACAGTATGCACGAGTTAGGACGACAAGGGATAGGCAAAAAAAAAAGGGAACGGTCTGGAGGGGATCCTCGCAGAGAGAATCGCGGGCACAGCTTCTCTTCGAGTCTCCGTCCCGGGCTCCTCCGGAAGCTATCACCGAACGGATCGTCCGTCCTCCTATTCAACCAGCTAAGATTGATGAGATAGGGCTCTTGCGCATGGAACTGTAGTATTGTTTGACGTAAGGCTCTCCGGTATCTCTCTCATCACTCATCAAGGACAAGGGGCGATTCCCAGCTCGATTTCCCCTGCAACAACACTGTTGGGGACATTGGTGAGTGTTTTCCTTCAACTCAATACAATCTACTTACCTGAAGCAGTGATCCTTTCCGCGCTTCCGTGTCATTAGGGATTTACCATGTCATTATCTTCCACCTTGCACCCGTCATTTCGCTCTTTTATGTCGAGTCAGGGCGTTCATACCTATCTCTGTTCCTTCTCCCTTATCCCGCATTCGGATGCCTCTCCCTACTGTATCGCTGGTTGAGGAGGCAGACCTTGCCCAGCGCCCAGCGTCAGCTCGCAGCTCGACCTCCCCATCGAGGGCATCGTTCCGGGAGATGAACTTGTCGGCTGCTTGTTGTCCGTCTCATAACCACCGATTCATGGGAGGGTCGACAGTTGAGCCTCTCCGGCACCCCCTTTTTTGGGCGGAAGACCATTTTGCTCTTTTGCTACCGCTCACGCTGTGGTCGCCGATTTCCCGTCAATTTGCCGCGGCCAGAGCTCTCTCCCATGCTCGAGCGTGACTTGGTGTCAGCGCTATTTCAGCTATCATGTCCCTGCACCACACCGTCGCTTCGGCGTCGCTCCGGTATGGCACTCGTTGCCTAAGCAGGTATCACCTCGGGGAAGCTCTGGCCATAAAGTTTGGAGAATGAACTCGGGCTTCGTAGATGTATACAGACCGTGTCCGTCTCGTCTTCGACGCCGCAGAGAACGTTGGGTCAACGAGCAAAGCTCTCTACGGTCTCGTGACTTCTGAACCAAGTACAACCGAAAGGTTGGGCTTAGGGATCTAGCCGACAGATCCCATCACTGTCTTGGCTTGACATGGATCTAAGCGAGGAACTGTGTCGATGCTCTGTCTGTACACGCGGTAGCTGAGAGAATCGCAGAGCCCTGAGGAACCATTACGTGGGATAGCCCTGAATCGCATCTACGCTGTCGGAGTGCGGGTCCGAACAATTTCTATTCCCGCTAAATCACACATCGTATCGTGGTTTTGCGGGAAAACTGAACACTGGGCGCAAGTTTCCGGTTGCTCAGCAAGTTTGAGACTCCGTGAGAGGGTCCTTTCGGGGGAGGTCGCTCAAAATTAAGGCTATGCTTAGCAGAATCCGATTCGACATGCCCGAGTCGCTCCCTTCCTCCGGTCATTTCCCCTCAGCTCCCCAGCATTACGAAGCTCGGGGATCCCTACGTTCTCTGTGAGCTTACGCGCTTCATCGTGTCTAGCGACAGCACCCATCGGAGAGTTCTTTTAGTCAGTAGTGCTGTAAGCGAACGTCATCAGTGAGAAAATCCTTTATGCACGAATATCTGTATTCGGCTGTTAGGTCTGAGAGCTTATGCTCGTCGTGACCTGAGCGCCTTTTGTCGTCTCAGCTCAGAACCATATGGATGGGAGAAAACAAACGTGTCCACTATGAGACAAAGTCATTTTTGTACGTCTTTTCAACATTTCCCACGGAATAGTATCGTTCAGTAAGGCACCGGGACCTACGCAAACAAGGTGAGTTTATCGCCTCGCCGAAATTACTCAATGCCAGAAGACCTAGGGTCATACAGTCATCGGAGGGAGCAATTCCATCTGCAGTACGCAGCATCCGGCCTCGCCCGTTCTGTGAGAATTGCGGAATATATTAGTGAGGATTTAGCGTTCCCTCAGTCAGATGTGAGCAATCATACATGTCGAATGGAAATTTTAAAGAATCATGACTTCCATCTTGATAGCGGGATTCCTCGTGAAGTTTCCCCTTTAGCGAGCTGATCGCGCAGAGATCACCCCATTTAGCATGCCAGTGAAAGAAAGCTCCAGCATATGATTGTCATTCCCGACAGCACCAGCCGAGCTTCGATCAAGATGTTGGTGCTGCTCTTGTTCGAGCTCACGCTGGGCTTGGTGACGGCTGCTGAAAAACAAGAGGAATGCTCCATGAGCTCGAGCCTTCCTTGCTGCGATCGACATCTCCCAGCTGCGGTCGATCTCGCGATCGAGCTGGCGCTAGCCAACGATGGTCGTTGTCATGTAAGAGTACTGTGAGCTGCTTATTCGCGCGGTTTCGTTCTCAAGGCGTTCTTAAGGCTTCGATCGCAATCGCATGGCAGCGGAACTAAAATTCCTTCCACTTCCTCCAATCAATTGCCGGGAGATCGTCGTTAATGGAGGGGTTCGGATTGATTCACAGCTGACGCTGCCGCTTGGTGACAGCTTTTTCGTGATGGGCACGAAGCAAGCCGAATTATTCATGGCCAGTGATCTGCCGGTATCCGTCCTGTCTGTGGTACTTCCGAGAGTACCATCGATTAAACAAGGTAGGCTACAGAGATAATTGACGGTGTAACATCCGAACGTATGAGGCATGACCCAGCCCCAAGATGATGATAGTGATGTTATCACGACTACTGTAGTCGATCAGTAGTCATATACGTCGATTCATTTTACAGTGATTCTCGACTACGGGAAAATGATGTTCTGGGACTCGGAGAACACCAATCATACGATAAAGTCAGTGAATCACCCTCCCTATCAGGCAAAGAGGCTCTTAATTGGAAAACCATTCATATACACGAACCGAACTCTCCCTTCTCTCGTGGTAGGCTGAAGATCTACACCGTCGAGGGCGTGACAAGGAGAGTCCATGTCGTGGTTGAGAACGTGGAGTTTCAGCTGCCGGAAGATCAGAAAGCCTTCAATGAGCTGCTCCGTAAATACCCTGGGCTCATCTATTCACTGTTCAAGGTATGGGGTGGATCATCCCATCAGCAGTCGCTTTCCACGGGGCCACAAGCCTGATATCGAACCTAGTAATTTGTTTCGTCTTTAGACATTTTCAGAGCATTCTATTCCCTTCATATTCGACGAGTTAACAGGCGAGCTTCGACTCCTACTCCACAACACTATCACGCTTCACACGGTGACGCTTGCGATCGACGGCAAAAATTATAGTTTGCCCTCTCAATGGGAAGACATCGAAAACGACACGAAAGCTGGTCTGATCGTCCAGCCTGCTAAAGTGATTCAGCTATTAAACGAGCACAATGTGACGATTCCTGTCAGTGTACTGGAGGTCTTGAGGAATCATATCAGGTTGGTCTTTTCCCGGGGTGGATTCCAGAATAAACAATAGGCTTCATGACGGGGGACCAGCTTGTTGCTGGTTCCTAAAGTGAAATAATTCAAGGGAAACGGCTCCGGTAATCATTCGGAGGCGGCACACGCTTCAGCTGCGAATCAAGGGCCGAGCGGGGCGATTAACATATTTCCTCACTCTGCCCGATGGACGGTAAGTGCTGTCGGCTGTCGCTATGCTCTTCGCGAATATTCGTGTGCCTCGTGAATGTACACTCATGAGCACAGACATTGATTATGGTTGTCAATCCAGTCGTCTCACCCTGCCTTCGCAATGGGAACAGCTGCAATCTCTCGTTGATCAGGGCCAGATACGTCTTGATAAAGTTCTTGAGCTCCTCGGTGAGTTCTTCACGCTCTCGAATCGTAATCTGACTCGAGACAAAGATTCCAATCAATTCGTCCCAACATATTCTCGCATACAGGTCGATATTCTACTTCTAGGCTCTATAGTGTTTCAGTGAGAATGAACATTCAAGATGAACTCTCGTTCCAGGCAAAAAAAGCGCCAAGATCGACCTCGCGGAGGAATCAGACGACGCCCTCGTTTTCAGGATCAATGGAGAGCTGTGGGAGCTCAGAAAAAAAGCGAAGCGATACGATCGGGGTTTCCCATGAGGCTTCCCGCGTCTGTTTCGAATCCCGTCCGATGATTGAACCCCTCGGTCATGATGCTCCATGACCTCGAGGGAGATGTACAGAAGATATGATAGTCGTATTCGCGTCGAACCCTGTTTCTTTAATTTCTGGCTGGTAGATTGAGATAATAAACTAGTTTCCCGTCTACGGATGTGTGATGCAGAGACTCGATATCTACAGGTTATCAGGCTCCGGAGCTGGTTCCGACGAAGCGGAAGCGTCGCGGAAGTGGGAGGTCGACCTGGTTGGATCCTAATAGCTTGAGTCGATCATCCTGGAAAGCGAATCGGGTACACAGGTCGGTCGCACCCTCTTAATTGGCTCCGCCATGGCTCAAGTGATAATAGCGAGCGATCAGCATGAGCTCGAACAGCGAGAAGGAGAGGAATTCAACGGCGCGATTGGCTTGTCACGACCGACTGTGGAACGGAGCAACTTAGAATCAATTCCGAATGTTGGTCGGGTGATTGCTGTCTGTCTACACATCACATGGGAAGCTAAATTCGGGATACCTCGCACCCTGGGGCGAATCCGTCAGACGATTTTATGGCGAAAAAAAATGCAGATTCTGCCAGGCTGTCATAGCGAGCTTTTGGAATCTCGACTCTCAGTGGAGAGACCAAGGGAAGAGAAATGCGAGAGATCCAGAGGGACCAAAGGAGGGCAGCGATGAAATTCCACAATCAAGGCTAGCCGATCTTACCTTTGGAGGGAGCTGAATACTCCGTTGACGGACGATGGAACCTGTATCCGCGACCTCCGTCATATTCATATCGTCGATTCGCCGAGGGCTCATTTCACGCACGTCGGAGGGGGCGAAAAACAGAGCTCATCGAGCCTTGTGAGTACCAGATTCTCTCACCGTGGAAACGCCCGTCGATTTGATTATCAAATGATGGTCACGAAAATATGAGGCGTAGATCAATCGCAGAATATTTACTTCAATCGATCCTCCATTTATAGATGCTCTTCGGTCGCAAGACTTCCGCCTCCATTCATTCAACGGCGACCGAGACCAGTTCTATTACATTGGAGGGCATGGCATACAGAGACAGGGTACGGGGCGTTTCTTGATGTAACATACACATGCGGCGGCGCGTACGACCGTCAGGTACTTGCGATACAATTAATTTAAGGGCTGAACTCATTGAACGCAAAAGGACGAGAGAGTTCTTAGTCCGGTGTGGGCTTCTTCGCTCATCCTCAACCTACAGTAGTCACTTTGATTTTCTCTCGGAGCGACGAATCTGCGTCAGTTTCCTCTCTGCGCTTCTCCCATTTGATCAAGTGGTTGATGGGGACACACATCAAACCCGAGACAAAGATCAGGGTCCCGAAGAAATAGAAAGGGACGTTGTACGCCAGTGTACGATCGTATAAATAGCCTGGAAAGATGAACATTCTCTAGTCAGACTATCTCAGACGTTGTCGGCCGCATCCTTCCTTTTGAGAAAGGAATCGCGAGAAGAGGCTTCCCAGATGCTTTTCGAAACTCTGTCACGACATCCAACGAGCATCGGAGTTAGCGACGAACTTCGCACCCGATAACTGCCTCCAGTTGAGCGCGACCCACTTCAAGCTCGGAGTTCGAGCTGACGATCGCTTCCGTGACAGGAACTAATGGGATTTCAGATTGCAGCGAAACGAACTTACCGGCCAAGGGTGCCCCGACAAGTGAGGCTAGGCCTTGGAACAACAGGAGAAGACCGAATCCGTTTGTGAGTTTCTCGAGACCGAAAAGTTCGACGACGATGATGGAACGGAGAGCGGCGAAGCAAGCTGCCGAAAGCGCGTGATGGATGTTATTCACCGAGATAAACTTCCGCAACTCTGCGGTATTCGCCAGTCCAGAGTTGCTGTCTCTTATCGTCAACGTTTAGCCGCTCCACTTCTTTGTATGATAGATTTCGCTCCGCTCAGCGCTTGCTGCAATTAATCATCGATACCGCTCCTGATTTACAAAGCGAATTTTCGAACTCACCTATAGAAAAGCCGAAAACAGCAGCGTAGGCGTGTAGACACACGAGGTTGCTGATGAAGAACGGGATGAGTATGGTCGCAATCCCCCCGATCATGACCGCAACATTATTGATGAGAAGCGCGCCTACATTAGGCATGTCGGATACCCAACCGCAGAACACGCGCCCCGCGGTATTGGTGAAGCCGATAGTGGAGAGCAGGTAGGCCGCCGTGTTCTGCAAGAATTCCCATGGATGATTCCGCCTCGATTCGAAGCGGGGAAATTCCCCCGGCGCCTTCTGTCGCTTCCCAAAGGAGTTCTCCCGTTCAAAATCCGATTTCGGGGGAAACATTACGCTCAATTCACGAACCTTCTCGATTCCCGCACCTTGAGCGGCGTCAGCGAGGTACATGAAGGGGATGTAGAAACCCATCATGGTCAGGAAACCCGAGATGGCCAGTAAGAGGAACGACGGGCTGCGCATCAAATCGAGGCACAGGATCGACTTCAACATATCAGCGAAGCCTTTCGGGACGCAGCCCCACACCTGCTCCTGGTCTTCACCGAGGAGCGTCGGGAGATGAATGACGCTCGCATGGTAGTTGCTGATATTTGCTTGGGAGCGATATTCGGGGACTCGGATCAGACTTCCGTTGAGGAAAACGTCTTTCCGCAGAAGAGGTTTCAGATCCGGATTCGTCAGTCGACGTTCACCGTTTGACAGTGACGCTACCGACAGACCTCGCTTACGCAAAACCCCTTGATCGATGCTTAGTTTGCTCCGATAGATATCAACCGACTTGCGGCTCGCGCTGATTTTGCCGGAGCCGACCTGGGAAGAGAACGCGGCGTCTGAAGTAAGCGGGTCCCCGACAAATTCTTAGGCTAGCTCATTAAGCAGATTTGCTTGGTTTGGACTCATGCGGTTTTACCTTCTGGAGCTCAGCAGCGGCGTTCGAAGGTATGGAGTCATTGCGCGATCCTTCGTTCCCCTCTCGATGAAGCTCGTAGTTAGAACGAAACTTGGCCGCTAGAATTGGCTGAAATTAGAGCAGGATCGGTTGGTCAATTTCTATCGTTTGTTTTCGGGCTCAACGTTTCTGGTGGGGATTCGCGAACCATCTCGTGTTTCCTCCGGACTCCGTAACATAAGCGATGGTGGAGATTCTGCGCGTGTCGGCCTGGTTTGAAAGCATTTGGTCTTGGGGAGGTTCTCGGAACGACTGACTCGTCGAAGCCGGTCGTGTCCGAATGTGGTCCGGGAGGAAGATCGCTCCGTTCAGTAAGTGAGGCTCGATAATCAGGAGGATGTCACCTCTCGGGGGAATGAGAGTCGGACGCTCCATCGGCTGGCTCCCTCGATCCGTCGCCGACCCTTCGTCACAGGCGAGCTCGTAATCTCTTGGGATTATGACATGTCCAACGTGTTTACAGCAGGGCTCGTCATTACCGTCATGATTGCGTAGAATCCATCGAGCTACTGAACTTCAGCTGAACGGATATACTGGCGATCCGATGCCTCGATAAAATAAGAGCAGGTTTTGCTCAAGATCTCTTTAGCGACTCACGTCCTTAGTGTCCAGTGAAGGAGTGGACCCATTCTGACTCTTGAAGATGGATACAGCGTTGATACCGTGACGGGAGCTCCGGAGCTCGGCGCGACTCTCCTCCACAGCTTCCTCGTCGATCAATTCGACAACCGTGGTGTCTAATGGCCTCAGGAGCGCCGCAATGAAGGCGCATCCGCCAGCCATCGCAGCTAGGAAAACCATGGATTTCTCCCATCCATACGCGTCGAGAGCCGAGGGCATGATGGGACCTTTCATGGAACGAATTTCGAGATTATGACTTGGATCCGGTGACCGGGAGGCTCAAATCTTACTCTACCGTGACGCCAACGGATGGAAACGAAGAGTGATTTCTACAAAAACGATAGGGAGGTCAATGAACTCAATTTCGAGGACGGAATGCCTACCGAGAACAAGCCCGCCGATACCGGAACCGCAAACAGCTATTCCAGTAGCGAAGGCTCGTTTCTTCTCGAAATAAAAACTGATCGTGCATGCCGCGGGAAGGAAAATGAAACCATAGCCGATGCCGGTCATAACTCCTGCGTACAGGTACATCGATTCCATGCTCTGGGCATACTGGGCCAGCACGAGACCTGCCGTCGCCGTAAGGGATCCCATGATGGCCACGGTCCGGCAGCCCAGAGCATTCGAAAGAGCGCCAGCCACGGGACCTGAGGAATGAATCTTTTAAACCCTCGAATTTAATTTTTCGCGGCCTGACCCTTCCATTGAGGATCTCAAATGGGTAAAGTCCGACTCAACGAGGACCGGTATCATCTGCATGTTCCGCACGCTACGGTGTTGAGTTTCAGTTCGAGCAGGCTGTTGCTTCGAGAAAAATATACTCGAGAAGTCTTGCCACTTACCAACGAGGAGATACATCCCTGACATGAGGGACACGACCCATGCGGTTTGGGATTTAGAGCTTTTGAAGTGCTTCTCCCACTCGAGGAGGAAGGCTCCCATGGAAAATATGGTGCCATCGACGATGAAAAAACAAAGAAAGGAAGCGCACACAATCACCTGGAAAGATGTGTGCCCGATGTTCTAGAGCGCATTCGAGATCTCCCTCACGTATCCCTCGGTATAAAATCGACAGATCATCAACTTGGAACGCTAGGTAGTCATTTGCTGTCATCCACCTTACCCATCCGTAACCTCCATCCGGAGCCATAGGTGATGTGGCTTCCACTTCGGCCAAATCATCTTCCGATATGGCCGATAGGCTCTGGTTCGTTGAAACTCGTGATGCTCTTTTCTCGCTCATGTCATCAATGACTGGAATGAGAGAACGTTCCACCCTGAAATCTCTGATATAACAATTGATGCTGCTGCTCGATCCAGGTGCTTCGCTCGATTCTCCGAGGTCGCTCTCGAGGTCCGGCTCACCACAACCCTCGAGAATGTTTGCATGTGCTAGCAGAGGATCTACGGAACGGGAGGACTCTTTGTGTCAATTTTAAACAGAAGGATTGGCACAAAATTGACGCCTTCGGAGCTCAAAACGTAGCCGCGAAGAACTGAAAACACTGGGGGAGTAGATCACTGGGCTATCGCTCGGATTCTTCTCCATCCCTTTCGGACTCGGTTCGCAGCGGTCCGGGGAAGATCCTGTAATTTCCGATCCGTAATTCCTATTGGATCGAGCCCTCACATAGCTTCGGTACAGCGAATTTCTGGTCGGCACCGGAATATGATGAGGAATAGAGTCGAGCCCGATATCGCTTCACGTCGCGAGTGGTGGGTAGTGCACGACGCTCTTCTCTGTATCGAAGACATAGGACCGAGTTCAGACAAAATCCGGGTAAGCGTATGACCTTCGGTGCGGGTCTGGCCGACTTAAATGTCGAAGAATCGGCAAGCGTTCTACGGTCCTGTTCAGAAACTGTGATACCGATATTCTCCAGGATCCAGCTTGCAGCGTCAGAATATCGATCATACCGCTCGATGAACTCGAGCTTAGCCAATGCACAAACTTTCTGGAATTCTCTTCCCAGGATCTCGGGTGCTTGTCCGATCGCAGAAAATCTACAAGTCGTCTTCTCAAGCCGGAGCCACGTGGATCTGTCAGAGTTCGGTTGAAATTCGTCAATTCGAATTGTAGACGATCACATCACCGACAGAGCCCACTACAAACGACCACTCAAATATCGAATGATGATTATTCAGGAAACTTGCAACCGGTCTCGAGGGGGCAGGAGACTGGTGGGGATGCACGCATATATCAACATATTATCTTATTAGGCTTGTATGCCCCGATCTCCAAACATGAGTATGTACATTCCCTCAAAATCCACAAAAAGCGCAGTGGTGCTCGTTCGACTTCGTCCCAATCAGGGTCGTGGCGGTATCATCTCGGAATGCGCCACAATCTCACAAGATTCGTGAGCTCTGAATTTCGGAATAATTCGACGATTTATAGCTAACAGGACCATAACTCGAGGATATCGCCATTCGGCAACCCAACGACATGGACGAGTATGCGTGGATTCTGGAACCGAGCTTGGCCGGAGAATGCCACACAGAGCCGACTTCTGCGAGGAGTCGCTGGTGTTCTTGAATGAATTTTCATCCGTATTAATTTCTGATGATTGGGATCCCAGGGAGCGGTTAGAAAGCTCTTTCTAATCGGATGACAGACCCTACATAATCTCATGTGTGTTTCGGTTCGCTATCCCAGGTTCTTCAAATATTGCAATTCCTGGAGCTATATCTCGAGAAGAACAGCCTCTTCGATACTTCCTCCGGAATCACGCTGGCCCTAGAACCATGATATCTCGAATTCCACGAGCTCATGATAAGTACCAATCGATCGCGAGATGGTCCTCATGCTATCCGATGACATCACGCTGGGATATCCTTTCTGTTATCAATGTAGATGCAAAGCGAAGCGTGATAATCATTGATTCTCCTCCCCACCTAGCTCGTTTCCCGCTCGCTGGTACGCGCCGATTCGACGAGCAAGGCGACACGAGTTTATCATGGAATAGAATACGCTCACTCAGTGCATGAAACTTGGTTAGCGAGAACGGAGGCTTCATCAGGAAGGTGATGCGAGTCAGTATATTTTTGACATCGTTCTAATTGTCCCAATTAACAAAGATCCATTTCATCGGGTCAAGAAAGTAAGGCGTAGAGTCGTTGTCACAAATTAGGCGAGTCAAGCTCATTAGAATTAGAGGATCAACGCTGCATGGCCCCGTTCATTGAAGATCAAGGCCTACAACACCTTCCGAATGAGTTGGATATCGAACATCACCCTTCACTCCAAACGATAGAACACACCGATTATGAGCTAACTTTGTGGATTGCAAGCCGATTAATACCTAGGTGAAGATCGATTGTAAGCGTGAGCACGGTTGGCGAGAACGCGCGCACAGGAAAACGATTCTTCCAATTGGTTGTGCGTCGCCACCTTTCGTTTATTATCGATCTGATCAACAGGCTTCCAGGGGAAGAGTCTTGATCTTTCGAAGGTTACCGCGCAATACAATTGACTCGATCGGCAGACACTGAATGCATTCCGGCGAACTCCGTTATCCTGACTCGCTCCTCTTCCAATCAGCCTACGATACGCCATCTTCTCGATCCAAGGGATTAACGTTGCTCGGGGTGTCCGCCGACGGATGGAAGTTGGAAATCCTCCCGCTTCGTGTAGCGCGGTGCTCGCCGCAACAAAGGAGCTCAATTTTGTTCGCGAAGAATCAAATTACGTCTCGGGAACTCTGCTTTCAAAACCCGAACTTTGGGACCCGAAGAGCGGGAAGTGTTGAAGGCAACGGGAAATCCGTACTCGCTGAGGCAACTGAAAGCGCTCGCGGCGAAGCGTCACCAGCGTCATGTCGGGTCGGAGGTCACAGAGACCGTTGTGGAGATACTTGCAGCCTTCAATTGCGTGCTGACATATTTGACCATGCTCCCGATGTCACGGCTTCGTCACCCAACGTAGCAGCATGGGTGGGGCTCCGGCTCGCTAACTTCCGAGTTCGCGCTCGGAGCTTGCCATACGTCTTTTCCAACGGCGGGACTGAAGCAACTCTGCCTTTGGGAGAGCTGGAGAGTCGGGCGAGCAAAGCAAGAAGCTCGTGTCGAATGGGCGGCGTCGTTGGCGGGACAGGTCGCTTGTTGAAGAGGTGCTCATGGTGGAATGCGTGCGTATCCAGCCATTAAGCTCGCTACTGCAGAGGATGATCCGCTTTTTTCTCATGCGGGAGAGCCACTTGCGAAGCTTTAGTACCTAATGACTTTTTTTAGAGCTTCGTCTTAAGTGCTGGCGTCGCATGGCATCGAATCCCGGCCCATTAGAGCCTCGTGTAGCGCAACCGAGCCGGGCGGATTAGCGCGTCGGAATCGGCGGAAGGAAGTCGATTGAGCGCGGTCTCTGAGAAGGGAGCCCAAACTCAATGTCGCCATGCATGAGCGCGTGCCGCAATCATTCGTCCGCTGATTCTTCGCGGTTTTTTTCTGCCCCACTTTGGGAAGCGTGGCCATTTACGGGAATGGCTGGGAGGCGAACCTCCGGGAGCGGGGGAGGGCCTGGATTTCCAGAATTAGGACCTGATGGCTCGATTCGACTTCCCTCAGGCCAGCGCTCACTATGTAATACAAACAAACTCGCACTCGACGGGAGTTAGAACAAGGCAAGACAATTACTCCCATCCGTCGAACGGTCGGGGCGTGTTCAAACCTTTGATTGCTCGTTTGTGCTTATGACCGCGGTTCCAATGATGACGGCGATGATACGGAATGTCTCTATGCCGACAGCGCCTCTCACTCACTAGCGCGGAGTATCAGACGTCAATCGGGATATACCCGAGCCGCACCCGCTGATCTCCGGATCTTCCTAGGGCAAGAGATGGATTAACGCCACACCGCTGGCACTTCCACGTCCATCGAGTTTCCTTGACGTCTACCGCACTCGCCGAAAGGAAGAGTAGCGCGCTTCCATCGGGAGCGAGCAAAAGGACTTCGGTGCGAGCTACATGTGCTTGACAGTTTTCTCCGCGACAACGGGCTAGGTTCGAATTATCATTAATCCGGGGGGAAGCCGAGAGAGGCACGCGCGAATCTATCAGACTGTGGAAATAAGATTCCACTCGGGACCGTTCGCCGAGTTGCGGTACTCACTGGGAATCTGCACGAGAGTTTGTTGTTCCGCTGAAAAGACTTCCTCCGAATGGACTGTCATCGTGTAGTTGCACTGTCACTCGTTGAGAAGTTCTTGGAGAAATTATCACCATCTGCTGAAGTACTACTCCCTCGATGGGCGGCCTCCGCCAAAGAGAACGGCAGATTGAACCGCTCGCTCGAATTTTTCTTTGTGGAGTTTCATGAACACATGCGGAGGATTGCTTGAAAGCGCTTGGAAGTCGGTGCCGATGGCCTCGTTCCTTCCCCCGCGGGAAAAATCTTTACACAAACCGCACCGCTAGGAGCCCTTGTCGGCCTGGGGAAGGATTGTAGCAACTCGAAATCCAAGGGCCCTCTCAACCTTCTCTCTCAAGAAGCACTCAGTGCTTGCTCCTGTCCTCTGATAGCTCTTCGTGAAAGATAACGGAGCTGCTCACATCCACGTTCGACGTGAGTGATGCAGGCATCGTCCCGGACAGCGAGCGAGCACCTGGATGGACACACGGGCGAACACACGGTTTGATGGCGGAAGGAAGGAAGGATGGATGGATGAATGGAAGCTCGACAAAGATAGAAGGTCAATGACAATCGAGTATCAAAGTCAGCGGTATGTCCGGCTCTTCGATGTGAACAGTTACCACCGCGTCTCTTCAGTGTGCCACGACATTCCGTAGAAAGTCAAGATGAGACTCCCGTCTCTAATCGGGCCGAAAACCTCTCCGGTAGGTGTCGGTCCCATTCGTGGATGTCAAATGATCTTCTGATTGAGCACCGATTGCAGCGTCTGTCGAGTGTGTGAATGAAGAGATTGCACCTCATGAAACGATGCACCGTAGCGGAAGTTTTCAGCACCTCGACGCGCGACGATCTCTGAGGACAAGTGGATCGATCTCCTCGAATGCTCTCAACTATCCTTGAACAAATTTGAAAGGGTTACGTGACCTCGCTGGCGATTGTTGACATCCCTGGAGTTCATCGGCTGAACACCCATCAGGCTGGGAGCAGCGTTCCGTGACCACCTCGGAAGCAGAGCGCAGGGCCGCTGGTTCCGACACCAGTCCGATCGAGCCGCATTGACTCCGCTTGAATGATTGTCAACATCAGCAAGTAGCTGTCAACAGCGCCGCTTGCTATCTAGAAGCACTATCAACAGCGTTGTTTATAGTCAGGCTTATCTCTTCCAGTAGTGCCTTGGATCTAGATATAACTACTCCCGGGAGCGGAATATATGTAGAGTGGAACGGGTGTGTCGCTCTTCCGCTTTCCCCCATCTACATAAATGTTCCCTGAGTCATTCGGGGGCCCGCTGGAAACTTCATGATGTAACGGTTATGGTAATAGCAGATCGTTCGAGATTCGAGAAGTTTACCCCCGTTCGGAAGAATGGCTATCTTCCTCTATCAGGCACCGAGTCTCTCCAATAGAGAAGATTTGATGCTGTTATTCACTTTTTTCCGAACGCCGACAAAGGTATTCATATCTCCACTATCGAACTTGCTGATCCTGAGAGCGAATCGCAATGTTCGCCTCGAACGCCGATCGAATACGACCCTGCAGTCTCTTTATCAGCTTGAAACGAGTTCATAGCAATATTCTTCGATAGAGAACACTGTTTTGATGATAAGAAAAGTAGATGGGTTTATTGTACATGATTTTCGAGGGACGATTAGTACGCCGAAGGAAGAGCTATTTTTTTCCACGGAGCATCGGAGCCTCTATTCGGCAGACTCACAACGTTTTCGCCGGTCGACTGGGCCTCGCGAAGAACTCGTATTCCTCGCCCATCGGCGTCGAATGAGGCCACGGTAAGACAGGTATGTTTTCCTCCGAAGAGAAAAATACTATGAGTTCGGAAGACTCATGCTCCACCAGCTCAAAGTTTGTTCCGATACCCCTTAATCTTGATATTCCCCATACCAAACTGCGACAAAATGTACGCGCCAGGATAGAGCAGCTGCTCTCGGAACAAGGAACACTCGATCAAGTTAGGGACTGGGATTGAATAGACGGCACATTGTTGCCCGAGAGCTCCTGTATACCCCCTCTCTATTCGCACGTCTCTGCTGCTGAAAGTGCAAGCCAGTCTGCATTTTCCCGGACCGGAAAATCGCTGTTTCTTGGAATTCAGATAAGTTTCGATAGAAGAAAGGGAAGTTTTCGCATCCTTTAACCTCTTCGCTATCTCGGATTCCCGTATACGCGAGTCAGTGATGAACGAGTTTCCAGGAATTTTATTCTCAGCCGGACCTCGTGGAAGCCCACGGAGCGCACGTGAAAACGGTCCAGCGCGTACCTATTCTCGCCGGGAGACTTCAGTCGTCGTCCCCGTGGACGGCTCCCGATATTGATTGTTCCCGTATAACCCGATTCTCGATCGATCCATTCATTTCCTGTCTTCTGTCGACCCAATATCTAGAACTGTCATCGAGCTTATCCGAAGAATGTTGTCTTCTTCGACGGAGTCCGCTGAGGACGGGTAAAAAATCGAACGACACGACGACACAGCTCCCCAGGAGTTTACCATTCAGTTTGCTTGAGCTGTGAACTTTGATCCCAATCCATGGGGGTGCATTGCATTAAGAGGTGCAGAAGTGTCGAGGATGCTCACCGAATGGACGTGCATTCCATGATCAGGTGGTGGTCGACCACCAATAATAAGTGGAGATATTAGTGTGCTCTCGCTCAGTGCGATGCGTGACCGTGTTTTGGACAGTGCGAGTGCCTGAGATGATGACGAAAGCTTCCCCCCTTCTCGGTGGGACATTGTGGTGCGTAATTCAGTCTTGCTCTCTGTTCCTCGACGTCGATGCCTACTTGGCGGAGGTGACAATGAACACAAACTCTTGGTAGTTGATCTTGCCATCGCCGTCCAGGTCGGCCTCTCGAATCATTTCTTCGACGTCTTCTTCAGAGAGCTTTTCCCCGAGATTGTTCATCACAAGGCTGAGTTCATCCCGCGAAATGTATCCGTCACCGTCCCGATCGAAAACTCGGAACGCTTCGCGCAGCTCTTCTTCCGAATCTGCTTCTTTCATCTTGCGAGACATCATCATCAGAAACTCGTTGAACTCGATCGTGCCTGTAAAGAAACGCGTTCTCGATCAGATAAGAATTCGAATTTTCGCATCGGTGCTGCCGTGGCGCACGATCGATCCTGCAGCAACTCTCGAGATCTATTGATTGAATGAGTGATTGCATTGAAGTGTTCCGGGCTTGCTGGGTGGATAATCTCGGAATTCCTGAGGATTCTCTTTTACCGTCAGGCTTGTTTAATGTCTCGTCCGCGACCAGGAGCCCCCCAGAGAATTCATAACAGATCCATCGATCGGGACATTTCGAATTAGGATGACTCTCATCTGATAAGAGCTCGATCGAGTGCTCCAGTCTCGACCACTTGCATACGCCCTGGCGGAATTCTACAGGATACCCCTCGTCTCATCGGCTAAAGTCACAGTACCGTTGCCGTCCTGGTCGACCATGGTAACCATCTTCTTCAATTCCTGGTCGGTAGGTCGTTGTCCGAGCGATCTCATGACGACGCCAAGCTCGGCCGCAGTGATCATTCCATCGCAATCCTTATCGAAAAGCGAAAACGCTTCCTTGAACTCCGCAACTTGGTCGTCCGGCAGCCCGTAGTTCTCGGGATTGCTCTGGAAATCGGATGAATAGAAAAGGGATTTATTTGATTGTCACAAGAGTCGCGCTGTCTGTCAGTCTTCATCCGAAGGGAATGAGGCGTGAGCCTCTAATGGCTGCCAGAAACCATCCAACTGTTCGATTCCGTTGGTGACTTTTCAACATGTTGTCACACGAATAGCGAAATTATGCAAATTCGCGACAGCATCGTTCGACTCAATCGGATGTATTCGTTCTCTTGCAGGCCCTGGAGCCCCCGCTCGCGAAATTAACTTTAATTTTTTCCTTCGAATCATCTGGAGTCCCCCTGGTCCGATGGCGAGGGATGCTCCGCAGTTCGAAAACTGCGCCGCAAAATAGGCGATCTCGCTCTTTTCATTCTCTCCCTATCTCATTAGCATTCGACTGGACTCAAAGGAATAATTCTCAGCTCAACGGATCGGACTCTCCTATTCCATACGAAATCCCATGAGAGCAGAAGACACAGAGAACCGAGCGCTGCACCCGGAATCTCAACAGATTCACGAAACTAGGCCGTCTTGAGGTTTCTCGTGATCCCAGACCCTGGATTCCACTGAAATGACGAAGAGACAGAATTGCGCTCAAGCACGCCATGTCACTCAATAACCTCGAATCTTAAGAGCCGCAATCACACCCTCGCTTCAATGCCGTGACCCTGCAGAGACAATCAAGAACTCTATCCTAATCACCAGCGGGGGGGGGGCGCAATGACGCCCCCTCTGGGGGGAATAAGGGGGGGGGATGGCATTATCATGAGCTCAGGAGGACATCGATTCCGGATCCTCTCCGATCCCCTGATCACCTCGCTCATACAGAAGCAATTCTAGATTGGACTCTGATCTCAAAGAATTCTAGTGTTGTGTGGAAGCCACTCAGATTAGTTCTCGATATCCTCGATCGAACTCTGATCCACAAGGGGTTGCTGTCGCTCCATTGGCTTAGTTCGAGGTCGGAAGAAAGCCGCCAGAACACCCTCTTTCTAGCCTGCAAATGCGAGATCGGCGGCATCCGGAAAATGGTGGCCAAGATATCGAGGAACTCGATGCACAGCGTCTCGGCACGGAATATTCGTCCCCAACACTCTCAGCCTTGTCAGCCCTCTCGAGTGATGGAAGATATCCACGAGCTCTTGCGGGAAGCCCATGGTGAACGGAGAGCTCCCGGGCCGATAACGAAGGAGCAACAGGTCGTCGCATAGTCTCGGACCCTGACACCAATTTGCAATATCAGTAGAGTCAACCTACCATTATGAAGAATCGCGTTCGGGCTCCACGAGAGCAAGGATAGTCAATGGGGGAGAGTGGTTTGCGTGAAGTTCCGACCCATAACACAGAGCATTCATCTATATTGCACTGATTCAGCGAGAGTCGCTGCTATCGCAAACATCCTCATCAGGGGTATCCCTGGACTTCGGGCCAACGCAAGCTCTGAACTCGACGAAGCTACGAGGAGTCGGTCGAGAGAGATGGGTTTTGCGGTACTCCGTGGAACTGAGAAGCACTTCGTAAGTTGCGAGGGAGGGAAGGGAATCAGTCTACGACGAGGAGGAGGAGCAGCAGCAGCGGCAGAAGCAAGGCCCGGGCCCGGGGACCTTGTTGCGCTCACCTGCGGCGGAAAGGGAGTCGGCAGCAGGATCGGGAAAGTCTCTCCAGGAGGGAGGGATAGGAACCGCTGCGTGCAGCCTGGCCTTTAGCTACTAGTGGTCCCAAGGACACTCCAGCAGATGTTCTGAGGGCCAGTGAAGGGATTCCGCGCCGAAGGAGTCAAAATTAAAAGACGCAGCTGGCAATTCCGGCGTCGCCCCGGGCCGTTATCCCGTCGATACCCGTTTCGATCTCGCAACGATTCGCTACATGCTACTCGAAGAAGTAGTGAGCCAGGCCGAGTTGCAGGTAGTCGGCAGCGATGCAATGCTCGCAATCTTTCTCGCGACCGAGCGCGGAAATAACGAACTAATGATGCTCGTCCGTACGTTCTCCGCGCTAAGTGGCCTCCTTGCGATATAGCGCTAAATGTCTTGTCGTAAATCATGGTAGATCGTCGCTCGACCAAGAGCATCATTAATGGCGAAGAGCCAGCGGAAGAGGACGTTCTGCGGAACAATCGTTATTGATCTATCCTCTGTCTCGGCTCCCAGGTTCTATTAGAGTTGAGCTTTCGAGGCTGGCCACGGCTGATCGATTCCACAGCCGAATTTTTTTACGACTTTAGCATATCGTTTGGAGCAGTGACTCGGGAAATATATCCACGAGTGTTTTTCTGAAGGGGCTAGAGGGGGGCTGGGTGAATCCGAAGGATGGGTGTGAGAATTATCACGAGGTGAAGGAATTTTCCGGAAGCTACTCGTTCACGCTTTGTCAGAGAGCTGACCCGGAATGCATCGAGTTCAATGTCACCCAGAAATCATGAACGACGCTTCCCGATTGCTCGAAAGCTCGAAGTTCCAGGGTCGAGACGGGATGGTGGCTAGAAGCGTCATCTCGGTTTATCTGGAGTCCACCGTTCCAATCGTCGGGCCTACTTAAGTCGGGTGGGCTGGAAGCGGGCGAAGCCGCGAAACGTTCAATTCCTTTATGCGGAATCGATCCTCCGCCCCCTCCCCGCCTGAGATCCTGATGTGAGACTGAGATTGAGGATAATGTCAAGAACGGCATTACTGTACACATGACGCCTCGCTTTTGGAGCTGATGAGGGATCGTGGAAAATAGCTGCGGGAGTCTCAGGCCGGGTCTGGGATCCTACCCAGCCCCATGATCCCTCGTTCAGTGAAAAGCAACGTGCGGACGGCCCGCCAGCGATATCAGGCATCGATATCGAACGTCTCTTGTAGAACTCAGGCATGCCTCACCGGGATCCGTATCAGCGAAGCGTATCCGCGTGAGGAGATAGAACATCGTGGATCGAGGCTCGACGTCGCCAGCGAAACGACTTTTTTATCACAATATATCTTTCGTTTATGTTATTTTTTGGGGGTTCTTTGTACAATACTTGCATCTCTAATGTTAGGTTTGTTGTTGCTTATCACGAAGAAGCGACTCGGGATCGGGTTCAATGTTTGTAAGCGCGAGACAAAGTGCGGCGGCGACCCCCCTGGAGGAGTCTCGCGACCCCCTTTGGGGTCGCGACCCCCCGGTTGCGGTACACTGGTTTAGCGGCTACTTCTCAATCACAGGGCCCCCTCTCGTAGACCGGATTCCAAAACAGTCACGGACCATCGTTCGTCTTAGACCGCAGCCCTTTTTAACATCGCTGAAGCCTCCTCGAGACTGGGAGGAGGATTCAGCTCGTAGCTAATCGATTCCGTGTCTAGTTTGGACCAAAAGCGATTTTAGATGGGGGTTCACAGAAATCGCGGCCAGACGTGGTCGTCGCTGACAGCGAAAGGATGGAATCTCCTCGATGCGACCCATTGCATCAGAATCCCCGAGCGAGCTGATGGACAGATGCTGTCCATATTCACATATGTTACACGCATATCTTATTTTCCCCCTCGTCTCCCCGCACCGCCACCGTCATACATCGACATTGAGCTCACGCCTCGATGCTCGCCAGAGTTCGGTCATGCCTTGCGAAATCTGAACGGGCGTTCGGTGGGAGAGAAAGTCAGCATCCTCGGTTCCTAGCTCCAAGAAGGACTCTCGAAGGCGACAGACGGCTGCCATACGTGAATCTCGTAAGCTTGACCCTGCTTGAAGATCGGGAATCCGTATTCATGCATAGAGCGGGAGTACGGACCAGTGAGAGGAAGAGTCGAATCGAGTCAACATCGAGTCCGACCTCCTGTCAGAAAGAACGGCGGATAGAAGGGTTCGAACACCCGTCGTCTAGTTCCCGGGAAGCGTCCTGAAGTTGGCCGCGGGGAGGACGCTCCAAGCTGCTTATGGGGAGACGGGTCACGAAATATTCCTTTTGAGTCACGTCTCTTGACGTGTAGTCACGCTGTAGATTCCGCAATCAATTAGTTTCCATTTCGTCTCCACATGCATTTTTACTGTGATGGTGATGATGATCTCGGTCGAGACCAATCATGGTGGTTTGATCTACCCGGAGCCAAAGCAACCTTTTTCTTGATCCAATCATACAGATGTCCATTCGCCGTCGCTCGTGCTGATGATTCTGCCTCGGAATCGCCCGTAATTGCGATCCGATTTGAATTTCCGGGCGATTCGAGTAGCTCAACGGGGTTCATCGATCGACCGTATCTCAATCGGGTCACTACAAGAACCAGCTCTCGGATGGAGATTTGCGGAAGTTTCATCTTCGAGTCCTAATACTGTGACACTATATGAGATCGCCGCCTCCTGCTCGTTTCCCTTTCTCACTTCGTAAGCTCTCGATGGGCTTGGGGGAAACGAAGAGCGGAGGAACCTCCCATGTCAACGGAACGCACGTTCGTAGTCGACAAGTGCCGCCGGCTTGGGGTTCTTCTTTGGAAAGTGCTGGCTAAGCGGCATCGGTCTAAAATTTGAATCTTTCCCGAGCTCTGATAGCGGACGGACCGGTTCTTTACCCCCGAGCTGTTCAAGATATCTGAGCGCGCAATCAGTATGTCTTGTGGATTCGTAGTTTGCGGACCGAATACCGCTCTCGTCGTTTCAGGTCAGTTGAACAAAGTGTCCAGATGAGAAATAGACATTATCGATCTTCATTGAGCGGGAGGAGGTTGCGGAGAATTCGCTTTTCGAAAACCTCCGCTCTAAGCTTCTGAAGGCTTAGACCGCGCGGCTTGCAGAATGAGGGCGGTTCTTACCGGTCCGGCAGAGGAATCACAACGAAGCGCATTCCGATTTTCTCTCATAGCATGATGATAAAAAAAAATTCACCCTGTCCCTCAGGATGCTGTCACTCCCAACCCTCGATGATCCCTGGAGGACGAGTATTCGTGTGGCCCCTGATTCAGAGAGTTCAGCGTATTTCACTGAATACGATGACGCTCTCGATCGACTCGCAGAGAGTTTATACGCAGCAAGGAGTGCCCATATCGGTGACGGGCATCGCGCAGGTCAAGATACAAGTAAGCTCTCACCCAAGGACATTCCGAATTCTGTCGAAAAATATTGTGGAGACTTTGGAGGCTGGAGATTTCTGTCCCTTCTCCTAAATCCTTGAATTCTGTTCAGGGTCAGAATGTTGAGATGCTCAGAGCTGCTTGCGAACAATTCCTCGGCAAAACCGACGATGAAATCATGTCTATAGCGCGAGAGACCCTGGAAGGACATCAGCGAGCTATAATGGGCACAATGACCGTCGAAGAGATCTACAAGGACCGCAAAAAATTCTCGAAGCAGGTGAGGAAGCGATCCGCACGAACTCAAACAACGAAAAATTTGATTCCCTCCTCGATCTTCCCAAATAAGCAAAAGCTGTATCTCTCGAGGTCTTCGAAGTGGCATCGTCGGATCTGGTAAACATGGGTATCACCGTCGTGTCGTATACCATCAAGGATATAGCGGACGAAGGCGGTTATCTGAAAGCACTCGGCATGGCTCGAACAGCGCAGGTTAAGAGAGATGCTCGGATGGGGGAGGCAGAAGCGAGGAGGTAGGTGGAGGATCAGTCGCGATATTCTCGAAGGTTCCCTCCTTATTGGCAAATTACTCACAAGGCGTTATTGATTGCAGGGATGCACGCATAAAGGAGGCTCTAGCCGAAGAGGAACGCTTGGCCGCAAAGTTCGTGAATCAAATAGAAGTAGCGAAGTCGAAGCGCGACTTTGAACTTAAGAAAGCGACCTACGATCAAGAAGTGCACACCAGGAAGGCCGACGCCGAGCTCTCATACACACTGCAGGCCGCTAAGACGAGGCAGCGGATCAAGGAAGAACAAATGCAGGTCAAAGTGGTCGAGAGGACTCAGGCCATTCAGGTTCAAGAGCAGGAGATTCTGAGGAAGGAAAGAGAACTCGAAGCCACGGTGAGGAGACCCGCAGAAGCCGAAAAGTACCGACTGGAAAAAATAGCCGAAGCAAACAAGAACCGAGTCGTCCTCGAAGCTGAAGCCGAAGCAGAAGCCATAAGGTAAGCGATCGCGAGATCGGAACGAATGTAAAACGCCTCCGAATTGCCTAGTCGATTCCCGCCGATTTTGCCGATAATTTCCGCTCTTATCTAAAGGCTGAAAGGTCTGGCTGAGGCCTACGCTATCGACGTGAGAGCCAAAGCCGAGGCAGAGCAACTCGTCAAGAGAGCCGACGCTTTCCGTGAGTATAAAGACGCGGCAGTTTTAGAGATGATGCTCGATACCTTGCCCAAGGTCGCTGCCGAAGTCGCCGCTCCCATATCCCAAGTGAATAGAGTGGTCATGGTGTCAGGCAACAAAGGGGATATCGGAGCCTCAAAACTCACTGGTGAGTGAGATCCTGACACAGATTCTCTGCACTATTCGCTCTCATGAATTAATCAGGGTCATGAATTGATTGGATGAGAAATAAGGACGACTTGAGAGGAATTCTCTGTTCTCTAGGTGAAGTCATTGACATCATAACGAAGACCACTACCATGATGCATCAACTGACGGGAGTGAAAGTTGGAGCGCCGCAGACCTCCTCACTCAGCTTGGCCGCGGCCACCAGCCAGCTCAGCCAGGCTGCCGTGTAGGCTCTATACACGTGCGCGTCTACGGAAGCGGGTCGATACCGATCGAAAGAGCTTTTTTTTAATCGAGGACGCCCGGAAGTGACGAGATGGACGAGCATTTCTAGAGTGATAAGGAGCACGTATTGCTCGCGCTCAGCTATTGCGCGATTGGAGGTTGTGATATCTTATCTTGGTTGTCGTATTCGGAGTTTTTCCTCTGATGAATTCCCACTACATCAGCCGAATTGGATGGCATCTTGACATCCGGCATCTGATGTAGATATGATGTGTGTGATTGCAAGTTTCTGACGTGAGACTGTGTTTGCGGTGTGAGATTCGTTCGATGCATCTTGAGCTTCGAGTCCGCGACATAACATTGCTCTGCGCAAAGGATTCGCGCCAGAGTCCAGACAATGGCTCACTCCGCCGAACCGACCGAATCAGTGGAGCTTACCACGTGCAAGGAGCTGCGAACGATGCTCGAAATTTCCCCCGAAAACGCCATGGGTCCAGCCCAGAGGTGCATCTTTGTCGTTTGTTTCCCGGTGTCAGATAATGGACCACCGTTATTGTTGGGTCGAGTGGGGGTCCCATGCTCGTTCGCTGTGTCCGAGCCCGATTCAAAATTGCTCCAAATCGGAAGGGGTTTCTGAGCCCGCCCACCTCGGAATGCCTCACGGATCGCTGTCAGGAACCGCGTCTTGACGCTCGCGTTGCACAGAATCGATGAAGTTAGAATACTCGATGGAAGGCATGAGCTTTTCGCTGCAGATCGCTAGACGTTCAACAGAGATATATACGGTTTCATAAGAGGCTGGAGGTAGGATTCGAGACCACGAACAGGAGAGAGCCTGGAGGCCATCGATCTCCACGGATGTGCAGCGACTGCATCGTTGAATGCTCCCAACGCTTAGCGTCCCTCGTAAGGGACCACAAGGCTCTGTTCCAACTTGTATGAATTGAGGGAGGGAAGGATCATACCGGAGCGGAGAGCGATTTCGATTGAGTCAAAAAAAGATACAGAGATACAGAACTTATAAATTCACGGTGTAGGAGTCCGTGAAGTCGTTCGGAAATGATGAAGATCCATGGGAAGAGAAAAATAAAAACGATGCACCTTCGCTTTTTCCGTACATCAGAAAGTTCCTTCATTCGACCAGATCCGGAGAGACCCGGACTGTGGTCGTCGATATCGGCTTTCTCGGTGCTGCCTCCGAAAAAAAGGTATGTGTACTGCTCGACTGATGTAAGCCACATCATGCTTCTACTCGGCGAGAGATGTTTCTCCTACGTGTTTGGAGCTCCGGAACGATCATTGTACTTTTCTAGAATTCGGCATCTTCCTTCGAGAAAGTTCCGGAGCGTTCTGATGTTCCTAATCCCGCTGTTCTAGCTCCAGTGGAGCGCCTGCGATCACGGAAAATGTCCTTAGACTAGAAATTAGCGAAAGTCGTCGGAAGACTCGCTCCAAATATTGGAAGAGCACGAAGAAGAAGCTGCTCATAAGAGCAGGGAACTCTCGCGCGTGCGAGCATCCGCTGAGGGACCGCTCTAATTGGAGAATCCAGTGCTGCGAAGAGTGGCGTGCATCACATGCGCATCGAATTTTCTGGACAGAAATCGCATGACTAAGCGAGCCGCCCACGCGGGCGTCCCTAGACACTATTCGGTCCCGAGCAATACCCGAACGACAACTTTAACGTGTATCTGTACCATCATCGAGCGATCGAAAGTGCAACGGAAGAAATCTTTGCATCCCATAAAAGGTTGTTTCTCGATCTTTCCACTCAGCGAGGAGCGTCGCCCTCTCGGCGTATAAATATATTCCCGCTCCCCGGAGGTTCCGATTTATTTTTCGACTAAGAACACGGCCGAATGTCCGAAATGCGCATCTCCAATTTCGATGATTTCGGTTTTGATCGAAGTCTTGTTCCCATGGAACGCTTCCCTCAACGGGACAGACTTTTCGATTGGTTTGAAGAACACATGAGGCGCATCGAGGACGATTTCGCAAGGAATCGAAGTTCCCTGATGCCCTTCGAGAAGACCGCCGTGTCTGTGTTCGATCCTCTGCGGCGACGGCGTGTCTTCGACACGCTGTTCCACGACTCCGACGATTTCGTTCCCCGTGTAGTGGAGAACCGGACGGACAACGCTCTCGAATACCACATACCGACCGGAGCTGGCAATTCCTTCAAACCAGAAGATTTACAGGTGAATGTGCGCGGAAGAGACATCGAAGTCAAAGCTCGGCGGGAGGAAAAGTCCGACGACGGCAATGCGTACGCCCTCCGAGAAGTTCGTCGAGTTGTTCGAGTGCCCGAAGGTGTCGATGTGGACAAGGTGGCAGCTGAAATGCGCCACAACGGGAAAATCATCGTGAAGGCTCCAATGAGCCAGCCTGCTCTGACTGATACTCGGGATCATTACCGCTCAACCGTGCCTCTCAGAGTCAATCGGGTGTTATGAGGATAGCAGGCTGCTGTGCCCACCTCACCTTGTGCGGAATTTCGTCGGCCACAGCAAGTCGAACAGAGTCAATTTTCATATCAATCTCCCATTTCAATGATTCGGACGATCGAGTCGAGTTCGGAAAGGGCTTATTGGAGGTCCTTGTCCGAGCAGTGGCCACGAGAGGGAACTCATCATCAGAAAGCTATGCATTGTTCCGAAAATAATAAAAATCATTTCTCCTGATCATTTTTTATTCCTCAAGGTATTTTGGTAAGTTTTATTTCATCAAGCCTCATCCTACTCGAGTCAAGTTGTCTATCGCAAGCTCTTGGAGGGGCTCCGAGACCCCTCCTCCCTACCCTGAGACTGACTGATCGCAGGCAACAAGTCGCCGGACCCCCCGATCTGAATGGACGAGGGCAGCGTGGGCAAATGAACTGATTCCCGGGCAGTCGATATGGCAAAGCGAAAATCACAGACAATTCACTCCATCGAGAAGTTTCGCCCTGCCATCAACAGTTGCCAGCGAAATGCACTCGTTCTCGAAGAATCTGTCATCAGGTCCCAACGTCCAGGAGCATTAGTTCACCGGGTATTTGGATTGGACTCCGGAATGAAGCTCTAGGCGTGTCAGATCCATCAACGGTCGCGAGAATCGATCAATGAAGTCAAGCTTCCCGAATCATGAAGCCGTATTCTGTGCGTGGAGAACTTCCCGTCGCTTTTCCGCTTCGGTTACTCGGTCTGAAATCCATGCGTTCATTTTATCGACACCAAAAATTGTTTTGACGCTGGTCTTGACAACGCTGATTTCCTGATGTGCGAATTCCTTCAATCGGTCCACACCCAATGCTTGTCGGTAGCGTTCGATGTCATTGTCGGAACACAGATCCGCTTTATTGAATACGATCAGCAGAGGCGCAGTAGAACCACAGGTGAGGATGTCGTACAGACCCACATGTGCCGTTGGGAAAAACTCTCGATTCGACCCGTCAATGACAAATATGATTGCATCGATGTCTTTATCGACTGCATGCTTCGTCCATAAATTGTACATAACGCCTCCGAGTTCTCTGACTGTTACCATTGTGCCCTTGCGGCTCGCAGAAGTGCTTAGACGCAGGTCGGATATGTTGAGTCCGGTGGTGGCGAAGGTGTGGGGCATTCGCCGATACTCGGGTGCACTCACTTCCTCGAGACGTTTTATCAGACTCGATTTTCCCGAATTCACGGGACCGATTGTGAGGATGGTCATTATGATGTAGACGGCGAAAATGCCGGCTGAGTTCCTGACTGTAGCTTCAGGAAGCCGTGTGGACTGATTCCGAGAATTGATGTTTTGGCGGCTCGTTGCCTTGACGACGTTCGACGCCATAGTCTCCCGGCTCGTAAAAAGACGTACCTATGCTAGGTTGAGATTGGAGATTCCCGCTCTTCAGATAGATCATGCCTTTGGTGGATCGTTCCCTGAGTCGCAATCATACGGCATGTGGGGCTATTTTTTCCCCGTCTCAATGAGATCATCGCTGAATCATACGACACGGAGAGAGAAAACCCAAGATCTTCAGAGAACACACGTCATTGTTCAGGCCGAATAAAACCTAATTGTCAACACACAAAATATGATGCGCCAAACACGAATGTCATCATGCGCTTCCCCAATATGGAACGATGTGATGAGGATCAGGACGAGCTCTTAAACCGCGTTATCTATCACAGCACTGGGGGCCGTTGTTGGAGCTGCAACCTTCCCTGGCTCGAACATGACTTTTTTCTTCGGGTCCGCCAACTCATATAGCTTGTACGGAGCCAAAGTGACCGGAACCGCGGATTTTCTCTTGGAAATTGCTGGCGGAGTCGCTATTCCATCTGGTTGAGGGGTGGTCGGCATTGTGAAGACAACCTTCTTCAGTTTCCTCCTCTTCCTCAACTCGGTCTGAGGCGGCACGGGTGGTGTCGGCGACTCAAACGTTGCTCCGGTTTGATTGAATACGAAGGTCCGCATCGCTTGTTGATCTGTCGGCCAACAGCTCTTCGCATCTATGGGCATACAAATTTTAACTTCTTTGCAGGTGTGTTCCACGTCCCCGAACTTCACGTTGTTCACCCCGGATGCCTCTGGCGGCGATGGCTGCGACGGAGCGGGCTGGTCGAGGCCTGGTTGAGACACGACATCCATAGCGAAGCCTGCTCCAGGCGCGGACTGCGCGAGACTTTCCTGGACCGCGTCCTGCATCGACGGAATCTCTAGAACTTCCTGCAGTCCAATCGTCGCAGCCGAGGAACTAACTTCCGGTGACTGAGGCTTCGGACTTTGTGATGCTTCGGATGGTTTGGGCGGCTGGGTAGCAGCGCTTGTGCCACTCTCCTGATCGGCGACGTCGGGTAACTTGTCGGTGCTCGACGGTGATTTAATCGGAATACGCGATGGCTTTGCTGCCTCGGCGATGGAACTCGACGCTTGGCTTGCTAATTGCGTGGCGAACATCTTCGCAGGCGGTAGCGCTTGGTAGTTCTTGATGCTGGGTTGAAAGTTCTGGTAGTACGACAAGGGTATCTGGGATGCTCCGAAGTACTTTGGGTTCGAGTGGAAGGTGGCTTGACCCCCGAAGTACGGGAGTCCAGCGGAGTCTATGCCGGGGAAGGATGCTGAAAGCGATTGGTCGGCAGGGTATCAAAAAATGATGCGCTCAGTCTGGCGCCTCTTGACAGAGCTTCTCGATCTGAAGCAGCGCTTTCCCTAAACATCGCTGTGATGAAACCGCAGCGATTGGATATACCGGTTATACAAAATATTGAGAAATAGAGAACTTATCGAAAAGGGTCGTTGATGGATGCAATGTCGAGATATACCTTGCGGTAGAGCCCCGTAGAAGAGCTGACCCATCAAAGGTGTGAAGCTTCCAATCGCCAGAGCAACTGTAAAGACCCTCATTCTGGTAACATCGGAAGCATCACTGAGCGATTCCATCGAGAGAGTATTTATAAAGACTGTCGACGACCATAATCTTCACGACCGAGCTGATCCTGCACGCCTGTTAGACATTCATCGTGAAATGCTTGTTAAGGCGTATCTCCACAGGCTTGACTGAGTTTTTCTCACGCTCGATTATGGCGAATGTTTGGGCAGAATTTCGAGCAGCTCGTTGGCTCCCTGAAGAGCGCACATCGAAGCACCCATCAATTGTATGTGTACAGAATATTCGATCATAATTCACCGGACTAGATTATAGAGAACAGGTACTCAGTATTTCGCCTCGGAGTTCGGTTCTTATCCCGGGACCCAGGTTGGGCAGTGATGCGAGCGGACGCATCGGATTTTCCGGTGCTTGCGGGCGGCAGCCTGGCTGCCTTTGATGCTACATGATGTCGGAATTCGTCGTCGGCTTCGGAGAAGCATTGCTGAAGCTGCTCTGATCGCTCGGATCACTGTACGAGGTTCATCAGTGGTATCTAGTCGAATAGTAGTGGCTCTAGGCTCCCTTCCCTATTTGCACCAGGATAGTCCATGCCATGAATTACGATTAAGACAAGACGACCTCCTGGAAATTGCAGACAGCTCGAGGAGAGGTCCTCTGACGAAGAAGCCGAACCGAAGCTGGAGAATGATCGCAGCGAGCAGACCCGGGGATTCGACTTGGCGGTTGTTCGGCTGCTCAGAGTCGTTAGAGTCTATGAAAGATGTTGGCCTTCCAACAAATCCGAATCCGCGGATGAATCGAAGTAAGGACTCCTGGCAGGGTGACCGGATGAAATTGAGTGCTGGCACGAAAAATCGCTTTAAAACCTCTATGATTGGGTAGTCTCTCTACGAGAACCGCACCGATTCCGAGCACATCCCGCCCGTTTCCGAAGGCTCTTGTGAGCCCTCTGAAATTTCCCACCCAGACGGTCGCCTCTGGTCCCGTGACAGCAGCGAAAGATGGTCATAGGAAGGTTTCGGGGAGCGCGTCGCCTCGGGCGATTTGATTCGGCCCGTCGAGGGGTGGCCCCTGATTCCCTTGGCAATATAGGATATCCGGAAAGACAATTTCTGCTTATGGCATATGATTCGCCACCGCCCTGGACGGCCCGGACTCTCGTGCCAGAACTCCACCGCGCTGATCTCGGAAGCGGATCGAAGAGCGTCGGGATCACGATGTGATGTGATCCGGAATGAGATGAACTCCTGTCTCGTCGCGCGCACTAATTCTTCTCAGAGCCCTAGCGAAGTGTCGAGCTAATAGTGTTTGTCGCTTGTACTCCGTATTCACAGATATTATCCATCCCTCTCCCAAAGATCGATTCGAGAAGAGAAGGCGGCGGCCGAGTCCTGCAGATGATCATTTGTTCGCAAGACGTCTCGTCATGAAGGATTCCAACTTCAAAACAGGTTCGTCGATTTTTTCCCATCTCAGCGCACTGACTCAGAATGCAGCAACGCATATCTGAATGGAATGAGTTCTCGCGATCGATCTGTAGAGGAGCACTGCGAAGAGTTCTCAGGAAGAGTCATCCGAATGTTCAGATCCGCGTCGTTTTGGAGCCTGTTCTCTTCTGAAGCGTCCCCTCCGCAATACGTATTTCTCGGATTCGAACAGATCCCTTCCGTCTCATGGATAACTTCAAGATGGCACGGGACTCCGTGACAATCTTCCGTTCAGAAAAACACTCGGACGTCTATCGTTATCTCGAGTATGGTGGACGCTATATGGGCCTCTTCTGGGAGAGCAAGCCCGTGGCCTACGTTTTCAAGACCGTGCACATCCTGCTCCAGCTGGGACTCATTGCTTTCGCGGGATACTACTACTTTCAAATCCAAGCTCCGAACGGCTCGGATACCGAGTCGAAAAGCGATCCCCGACACGCGGAGAAGTTCTTCATGATGCAGATAGGCCTCCGGGTTACATTCGCCCTCATAACCTACCTCACCGGTCTGGCAAAGGTTTGTTGTTAGCCGAGCGCGAGAGTCCCTGAATCAGTACTCCGGGGTCAGTTAGGAAATCCTGACTAGTCCGATTTTTTTGCTTCTCTGTGGCTTTCAGGAAGAAAAACTCGAACAGCTCAGACAGGTTCTGACCTGTCTACACGTAGACGATAAACTCCTCAGGGTAAATCGAATCCTGTGCTTCTTCGTGCTAGCATTCCTCGCCAGTCTCGTGGGGATAGATCTCTACCTTCTATTCGGTCGCATGGACGAGGTCCCAGTTCTAGGATCACGGAGCGAGTTCCCGCTCAGAGCTGCCACGAAAGTGAGTTGATTCAACTGCTCCAGCGGCAGGCAAATTCCGAACACACCCTCGAGAGTGAGAGATAGTCGGAGTATTACAGGTCATGGAGAACCGAAATGCGCGCTCCTGATAATATGAGCTCCACTCAGAAAGAGTATTGTACGAGGATGGAAAGTCTCGATACACGAACCGATGTCGCCAGGACTCACGGCGTCATTTTCTCGTGATCACGGAGTAGTAGGCATTATCAGATCTCTGTGGGATGCACAATCTCATCGCCAAGTTTCCGAGGTTCGATCGACCTCACTTGGATGCATTCCGAGAGATCGATATTGGAAGCGACTCTGTAGGCTGTTATAAACGAGAAAACAACGCACACTGGCTTCCTCGTGACCATCAACGCGACATCGAGCGACAGCTTGACTTGAGGGACAAAGACAGCTATGATGAAAGGTTTCCCAGAACGCTCAAGTCAATCCGCCGATTGCGTGGCGACTAGAACACTGTTCTCAGAATGCATGAATCAGTGCACACATATCATGCACGAAGCCCGAGCATTATTGAAGGGATGATGCTACTCGCTCTTCGTTCCCGGAGAAACTTCCAAATCTCCGGAACACTCGAGTCCCTAACTCAGTAGAATGATTGTTCTCGACAGCTCGTGTACATCTTGTCTACGTCATCTGTTCTATGCGTTCTCCCGACGTTTTTCATCTCGTCCTGCGTATGCGTCCAACGGTCCATCTGCGCAATCAACGACGACGTGACGGAAGCTATCCAGGCTCAGGTCGGTAGCTTCATGGCAGAAGATATCTCGAGGCCAACCCCGCATCCCTCGAATCAGGGAATCCCCGATATTTGTGGGCGCCTCCATTATCATCACATATCTTCATCATCCAAATTAGTGAGGAGATGCCGGACCGAGATTTTTGAACATTCGATTCCGAATTCTCGAGATCGAGAATGATCTATGGAATCTTGCTCCCGGACGCATATAGTTGATCCTCCCAATTTTTCTAATGTGGATTCCTACTCCTATTCGATCAATATTCGTGCGGCAATGCAGGCGGTCAATGATTCGGGATTCAATATAGATTTCAAGCAAAATTCCTATCCTGGGAGCGCTGCTTGACTGCTTCCGTTTGGTCTCAGGTCGACGAGAAGCGCAAGGACGAGATGTTCCTCCGCCTGCGGATCCGTTATGTCGAGTTGCTGGACACGCTCGACGAGCTCTCAGACGTATTCGGCCTCCAGCTATTCGTGTGGCTGTCGCTAATGTTCTTCCATACCTGCGTGAAAGTGTTCCTCTACGCCAAATACAAAGTAATCACGATGCGATCGATCTCATGGAATGAACGTTGCGGTTGAATATTCAGACTGCTCGTACGCAAGCTCTACATCGGCGTTTTCAGGAGAACATCCAGCCCAATCAAGTCGACCATATCGAATGCATTGTGATCTCATCGGTTTTCGACCTCATCCTCTTTTCGTTGTTCTGCTACGCGGGTCACGGCGTGTTCAAGGAGCGTGACAATACTCAGATGCTGACACGTCGCAGCGAATCGACTCCATGCACGCAACTGCTACTCTTCCAGGTCTTTCCTGATGAATTATCAATCATTGGTCTGAAGGAGCACGCGGAACCGTCGGCTTCGCCGAACCGGCAAGCTCCGCGCTGGTGAGCGAGACTTGAACCTCAATGCTTTACAGATGGATCTCCTCAACTCAGACGTCGACTTTGGAGTACGGACAGCATCAGGACACAACATGAATCTTCAACTAGCATTCACTTTGGTTGGGACGGTGACGACGTTCGCTGTTGTTATCATACAGATCTACATGTCCGCCTCGCCGACCCCGGGAGCGACGAACTTCACTGCGAGTTCAGCGACGCCGATGCTCACTCGCGGAACAACCCGTCCGTCCTAGATCACCTCGAAGTCTCGGATCTCATAAGATTGGGTTCTTTTACCGAAACCAAAGTAAAACTGACCGCTCCCGCCTACTCTGAGCGAGCCGGGGAAATTCGCGTCTCTCTGAAAATTTCAAGTTTGCCGTATACGTGTATCTTCATACCGATCCAGTCGCGATTGTTGGCTCATGTAGCGATGGGCTAGGTGATTCGCCCCCTTGGAAGTCCGAGCATCCGCGATCCGTCGAGAGTGTTACAGCTAGGTCGTATTTTTGCGCCGAGTTCGCTGGATCACGCGCAGGAGGGTGGACAGCGGAATTCCAAGAGGATTCTGCGTATATACGTATATCTCGCTTGCATATCATCTCATCACTTAACGTATGCACCGCGTGCTGGCAAGTGGGTCGGATGCTCGTCATCACCGTGCCGAGAACTCTCTTCTATGCTCATCTCCATGCAGCACGGGCAAGTGCTCTCGCCGGCGGACTCCGCATGGGCGGCCGTTGAACCGAGAGCCGCGGCTTGCGTAACAGCTCTCCTCTTCGGCTCTTTGCTTCAATCGTTGAGCTGAAGTTCGGGGCTGACCACAGTGAGAGAACACGCGACCGGGAAGCCGACGGTGGAGATGGACCCGATTTTTAAGCAGTTTAAAACGACATTTTCTCTCCGCGGATCCAGTCCTCAAGCAACCCAGGTGGGACGTCTCACATGTTCCGTGCTCTACCTGTTTTGCATCGGAGCGGCGGTCGGGAAGGAATTAGGAGGACGCTCCGAGCTGACTGTATGTTGGATGGCTCTGTGAGGCTTCCATTCAGCCTCGCAATACTTTTGCAGTTGGTGATGTCACGATAGGTAGACTGTCAGCCGTCCAACCGACTGAGCATCGTACCGCGGGAGACGAGCCCGGACTGAGATTTTCCGCCTTGTATTTCCCTCTCAGCGTTGCGCTCTTGGATCCTACCAATAATGAGCTGCTGTTGGAGGAGCAGGACGGAGGAACTGCCCGAGATTGCCTGATTTTGACACAGTCTCGCATGATGAGGAGAGTTGCCCCCACGAGCTATTCGGGTTCAAATCTCGACCTGTCTCTCGGAATTTTGAAGCTCCCGACTCGTCGAAAACTTCGCTCTCGCGAGATTCGTCTGTCCATCCATCAGGCATCTCCTGCGCCCCGGTGCGTGACGCAACAGCTGCGTCAAGTCAACCGGATTGCTTCTCGTACTCAGAGTCGTTTATCTGCAAATCTAGCCGCCGGGACCATGAAAATACATCAAGACAGGATCGGGGAGAGAAAATATCCTCCGAGGTGGGGAGGGGGCAAAGACGGCTATCACTAAGAAGACAGATGGACCGACTACTTGATAGACAGATGAAGCTACGGGGGCATTTGTACGATGACTCACTCGTTCGCCCCTCTGCACACTTGATACAACACCGAGAATAATGAAGACTTATGGTGGAGCATTATTGCGGTCTCCTGAGACTGATCCTTCCGGGGAATGGTGTGAGAGTTGTGCCTAACCTTCAATGTTTCAGATGTGTTGTTTTTTATTTTCGAAAATCGGTCCCGGCCGGATTCTTGACTGGGATCACAGGAAAAAACTTCCGGAATATCTGTCGACGCGGTCTGGAGGGAGGCCTCAATTTCGGATCTAAATAGTGGATGAAACGTGTCCCTTTCCAGCTGGTGTTCGCAGAAGGGTGGAGGTTTTGGCTGAGGCTTCGTCGATATCTCTCCCTATTCCATATGCCCGTCAAAGCAAGAATAGGCTCCAGATTCAAAGTATTGTGATCTGCATCTGTGATAGTATTATGCACATCTGCACGGCGATGGGAGGCTTCCGAGGACACAACGTGACCCGTAACCTCATCCGATGTTCCGTTTCCGGAAAGTATAGCACACCGTCACTCGCTACTCCCAACCGCGGTCATGAGCCTGCAGAGGAAACGGTCGCAGGGTCGATCGGGCTTCGCGTCGGGATTGAGTGATTTCCCTACAGGGGTTCTGCTGCAAATGTATTGCCAGCCGACCCCTGTGGCATGTGGCTCTGTATGAGGTGCACGATAAGATAAGACCGAGTTTATTGATTGTCATCGTAATCAACAACGGCCGCTACGATTTGCAGCGCAACGAGGAAGTTCATCTCCTATGATAGTTTCTCGCAGCTCGGCTGAAACGGGCGCGGAATCAGGTGGACCGGACGTCCTGATGGCCGCGAACGATCGCAACTAAATCGTCATATACGAGCCGAATAGAAGGGATTATGGAGTCTTGCTCATCATGTGCATTCGTCCTCATAAGGTGGAGAATCCTATGATCTCGCAGCTCGTCATGGGCCCGCTCACAATGAGACGAGCTCGGGGGACCGGGGCGAAGAGAGGGTCGACCGAATCACAGGTGACGAGGGAAGTTCTAAAAGTCTGTCATCCGAACAATCGGCCCTGGTTTGGGAAAGAGAGTTCGATTTTAAAAATGTCAAGAGGTTGGTGAATCGAGGCGGTGGGTCGTGTTGAGTCGTGTGTGGCTTTGACACTTGAGAGCAAAGAGCAAATCGAGCAAGGGTGAGTGAGGTGCCCGCTGCCGACGCCAACGACGCCGCCGCCGCTGCGAGTACTATGTAAGATTGAGAACAGCGACAGGACTCAGGCAGCGAGCCGCCGACACTTTTTACGAGCCAGCTGGCGAACGTCGGCAGGCTTCAGTTCGCTGACGCGGAAATTTAATAAAGTCAACGCGAAAAAGGAAGACCAACGCCAACATCAACAACGACAAACGCGTCGACGCTTGCAGCGGCAACACGAGAGAAGTACAAATCAAGAAAAATAAGATCTCTCCTCAAACTCTGCGTCTTGTCATCGGGGCCGTCTCGAATGCATATCTCTCTCGATCAGACTCCGTTTCTTCCAAAGACAAGTTGCCCTGTGCAAAATGAAAGTCCCACTGTCCTGCAATCGGATTCGCTGCCATGAGTACATGCATTGCTTGCTTTATCAATTCGAGTTGTTTTCTGGGTTCAGAAGCATCGATCCGGGAAATCCCAAGCGGCAAAGACAGTGATCACAGGCGGAAGTCCGATTGTAATTCTCCCTCGAGTCACCTCATCTGGCGAGGCACTATCCACTGATGAATATCCAGAGGTCCGTGCCATGTTGCGGAATTCGCTGCCAGACGACACAAGCTACAGCCGTGACCCGCCGACTTCCAATACTTTGCCGTTCTCGCGGAGCATCCCTCAATCCCCTTCTTCCTTGGATAATGACCTCGCTTTACCGGTTCTTCATCGCCGATTAAGCCAGATAAAGCACGGATGCTGTTCAAGTCGGGCTTCCAGGAATGGCTTTATGCGTTCGCACCCATGGTGATGGGAGAACAGAGGAGTCGATGGATTTCTTCGAGGGAATCGGAATGTGAGAATACATAGGCACAGAATTTTGTCAACCCGTGATGATCTCAGAGGCTAATTCCGCCGTCCTGACGGGCAGACTTCCATGTGACGGGAAAATGTCAGCCAGACCGTAGCCCTAACGGCGAGAATGATCCTGTCGGATACGCCCCGATGGGTTCAAGCTGTGCTCGAATTTCCTGAGGGGAATATCACTCTCTGGCTCTTGAGCGATTCTAACAGGAACGATTATACAGAGTCCCGATCGAATTCCGGATAAGGAGGAGATAGGATGCTTTCCCATACAGGCGCTGCAAGCCTCGCAGGGACGCGAGCGTACGATGAAGACTGTCAGTGTCGGAAGTGATGTCGTTAGCAGAGCCTCCGGATCGGGAACGTTGTGCTCTGGTCTAGGTACAGTGAATTCGCTCCCGAAAATTGACATCTGGCTTTCAAAGGACGATACTTCAAACTACCAAAACACTACCAAACCCGCCTACCGGCGCGAACGTCCTCCTCGAGATTCGCTTTAAGACGTCGAACCTTCTAGGTTGTATCGCCCACCTGGGTCGAAAGGAAAACATTCAGTCCGGGACCAAAGGCCTGAACGCTCTGGTCCCGGCTCAACAAGCGGTCGAGCACTATTGAATGATCCACGGGAGTCACCCCGCGATTGCAGGCAGAGCGTGTGATAGGGGTAAGATAGTTCGGACACTTCAGAAGGGGGAAAGGAGATATTCATGATCTGGATGAGGGAAAAAATGGTCCTTGACTCATTGAAGTCCTATCCGAATTGAAGGATGGATACTCCTCGATGACTTTGCATTTCGAAATGTCACGCTCTGCCGAGTGAGGAGCACGAATAACGTGTCCTTGCTTCATGAAGGATCCTCGCGAGCGAAGAATGCGTAGCTTTCCTCGCCCGGGATTTCGCGCGGCAGGGAACGGGACCGGTTCGATGAGTGCGTACAATCGCTCAGCATCTTGAAATCGTTCTAGACGAAATCCCCCTGATACCTGATGCATCGTTCACAGATATTAATAGAAAACAAATAGGTAACTCGAAATCAAGACTGTGCCATCCCGCTAGCAGTACTCATGGAAGCTCTCGCGAGTCAATGCATCGTAGTAGTTCTCTCCCGAAACCCTCTCCGGTAGGAAAGGGCTGGCTCATGAGCCAGCTCCAAGATATCGGATGCGCGCTCTCAAGTCTGAATCGTGAGCCGCGAGTCGCGGCAGTTGCTCAGTCCGATACATTCGTGTGTGATCGCCATGTGAAACCTCCCTCTCGTGTTCTCTCCCTTAGCAAAAGTGAACGATTGCATTGACTTGAGCTTCGAAAGGATTACCATGTTTCCCTGTTTGCGCTATTCGATAATTGTGTTGCTCGTCGCCGACGCCGCTCTGGCCGCTAGAAAGAAGCACCGTCAACTCGAAAGTGATGAGGACGACGGCAATACCTCTTCGTGGTTGTCAATGTTCCAGGCCGAACAGGCCGTCATAGACCCGTGTCAAGACGAGCGCGGCACGGCCAGACGCTGCATTCCTGATTTTGAAAACGCAGCCTTCAGACGGCGGGTCCACGCGTCATCCACCTGCGGCAAAGTCGCCACCAGGCATTGTCAAGTAAACGCTGTTCGCGACTCGGTCGGATTAGCCGGCACGACGAATGAAGAGCTCGTCCGAACGTGCCAGATGTGTGATGCATCGAATCCGTCGACAAGCCATCCGGCTGCGCTTCTCACCGACGTCAACAATCCCTCAAATTTGACCTGTTGGATGTCAGAAGCGTTCAACGTGAACACACCCCAGAACGTTTCACTCAGATTGTCGCTCGGGAAGAAGTTCGAGCTCACCTACGTTTCGCTGCAGTTCTGCGGGTCCAAACCCGACTCCCTCGCAATTTTCAAGAGCAGCGACCACGGGAAATCGTGGCAGCCGTTCCAATACTATTCGACGAATTGCGAAAAAACCTACGGCAAGTCGTCACGACAAAAACTTTCTGTGCATAACGAGCACGAAGCGCTCTGCTCGGATCCGAACGCCGACAAAAATGGCAACAGTAACAACCGTATCGCGTTCTCAACCCTGGATGGGAGACCCTCGGCGTACGAGTTCGATAAGAGTTCGCTCTTACAGGATTGGGTGACGGCGACCGATATCAAAATTGAATTCCGACGTTTGCTTGACCCTCGACAGTCGGAGTCGCTGTCGAGCGAGAACAGCATCGATGACAACGACGAGGACAATTCGTGGACAAACGAAACCTTGAACAGCGCACCGGTGGCTAGCACTCAGGAAATCAAGCAGGCCTACAACTTCTACTCGGTGGCAGACTTGGCAGTTGGCGGTCGATGCAAGTGTAACGGTCATGCTTCGGCTTGCGTACCGAGTTCCTCGTCGACAGCCGAAACGCCAGATCTCGAATGTCAATGCCGACACAACACGGCAGGTCGCGACTGCGAGAAGTGCAAACCTTTTTACTTCGATAGACCGTGGGCTAGGGCCACGAGTCAAAACGCCAACGAATGTCAACGTGAGTATTTCGTACTTGACTTTTTTCCTCGGTCGTCATCGTCGTTCCCCCCTTCGGTGCGGGCGTTGCGCACTTGTGTATCTTGACGATGTGAGTGAGGTGTGACAAATGTAGTAGATTTTTTCGTCGATGCACCACAAAGGAGAAATCGAAAATCGAGAGACGTAGTCGTCGCGTGGGTTCCTCTTGTCATTCCCCAAACCCTCGGACGACAGAACGAGCAGTCGGTCCCTTTTGCTCAGCCAGTCAGTCAGCCAGTCAGTCTTCACACCTCCTCGAGGCTTGTACATTTTCTCGGGGATTATAACAATTGAGAGGAAGCCTCAATCGGCCCCATCGATAACTGGGCTGCTGCTGTCGGATGGTCCGGATCCGCCCGAGACTGGCGTTTTTTCATCTCACTGTCGGACCGAGAATTCGTAGAAAATGGGAAAAATGAGGGAATTCACAAAAACAGACGATTTATTCGAGATGGATTGAGGATAATGGCCATGTCTTATTAGAATGAGTCAGTTTGAGAAATCCGAATTGAGCACGATGAGATTCTTGATCAATTCTCTAACATCCTTCGATCTGATCGATCTAGCGGTGAGACATGATCGGAAAATGTGCGGCATCGACGAATCGAGTCCCTCCCTAGAGCTCGGGTTCTGAAGATGCAGTCTTGGGGAGGAAGTGTCTTTTTTCCTCTATTCACAACTTAGCGAAATCGTCTGGAGGTTGGACGCTTCGTTCGAGTGTGACTTCGAATCTTCATAACTCTGACATCAGTCTTTACAAGAGCTCCACTTTCCGTCGCGGTGCGGTAATCTAGGCTGAACGAAGTCGATCGTACCAGTTTAGACTTGATGGAGAGCCTCGCAAACAGTAGAGACGGGATCTTTATTCTGGGATTTTTCGTGGCATTTTTCTCCCTCTTTAAATGACTATCGCGTAGTTGTAGCACTGTCAGCGGTCGTCGGGTTTGTTCCTCTTCTCTCAGCTGGCATCAGCAGTTGCGGCGGCATCGTCCCAGGGTGTAATGTCGTTTTGCGCGCGTCAGAAAGAAGGGAAGGAAACACACGGGAGACGCTTGAAAGCGGCTCGTTGTTGAAGTAAGCTCTGCAGGCCGCGCGGACGTTCGCCAAGCGGCTCGGTCGCCCGCCCCACAAATCTGATGCGCCAACTAAACCGAACCAAACACCCGCCGTTTCTCTGGACACCTTTTTTTCTGCTGTTTCTTCTGTCATTCTCCGATGTTAGATAGCCATCGAACAGAGATAGATGACTTATGTCAGAGGAGCAACCCTGTTGGCATCGAGGCACCGTAGGCGATCGACCGACCGACCGCGCGAGCGAGAGACCGCCGCTGCCGGTTGATCGGCCAGGTTGGATGACTGGCAACGATACGCGGCGGAGTTTTGCCTCGAGTTGGCGACCTGCGAGGAGACTATGGACGATTCTTCATCATTGCTCATTATCACACCTTTTTGACAACACTTCATGGGGATGCGGGGATCCTACTCAGTGAGAACATGAAAGCACCGCCGCGGTCTTCCGTAGCCGATTTCGAGCTTTCCGTTCCAAAGCGCTCCGGACTTTCGGAGTCGTGCCTCGAGACCGAAATTCCAACGGCGAGCGTCTGACAAACGGCTGCGGGGTTTCGTTCCCGTGGAATCCAAGAGGATATTCTAAATTTGAGAAAATCGGCTCGTCAGTACGGTCCAAGAAGGATTCAGATACTTAGAAGCGAGTCAAGCTCGTCCCTCCCATTGAATAACCGTTAAAGGGCGTTTCGCCGTGGACCGCATCCATCGATGAGCTTTCAATATCTGTCAAGTATGTAGTTGGCCTGCGCGGCCGTCGAAAGATCGAATGAACCGACGAAAGGACTCATTGATTACTTATTATAGACCTTGGCTCGAAAGGATTCTGGAAGAGTTTTCCTATCAGCTCGGCATCTCAATCGGGGAAGTAGACGATCACACTCGTAAGCTTTCCGCCGTGCCCGCCGAGATATCCTCCTGCGCCCGTTCGTTGTTCGGGTCGGCTCCGACAGGAACGCAGTTCGTTGGAAGCGCGGAACGATTCAGATCGAGTGCCTCTGCGAGTTGCCTGGAAATTCGTCCGCTCGTTCGTTTCACAGAAACCGAGGCTAAACGATTCGGCACCCTCTAGCTCTGTCCTGAGGCTTTTTAGCAAGCGTCACCCAGGCGCTTTTCTTCGCTGTATTTCCTATTCCTCCTTTTCTCCCTCCATTCGAATCTGATAGCGAGTTCATTCGCTACGCGAATTCTAAAACTGACTGCTGCTGACTCTGCTGCGGCAACAGCTTCTTCCGAGTGCTCATGTGCCGTACTGAATTCGGGAAAAGCTCAAGACGGCAATGTCGAACCACAACAGCGATTGCGACGACGCCGACGGTTGGAGTGGTATCGAACTGACTGACTGAGTGGGATATTCTCGTCAGCGAACGTTTGAATGCTTAGCAAATTGCGACTTGGATTCCAGCGCGGGCTTCGCCGTCTCCCTCGACTCTGCTCCGCTCCATTCTGAACGCAGCATATCCCTTCAGTGACTGCTTGCAGATAGCGAATTCCGAGGGGGAACCACTCTAGATGAGGAGCTCCTCCCACTCGCCCGCCGAGTTTTCATATGTTCCTCGCCCGGCGCCCCTCCCCGTCCCGTTGCCCTGCCAGCTTTCTCCTGTCGAGCATCCCTCACTTCACACGTCCACGATGCACTACAGCCTAACACTCTGCCAATTCCTACTTTTGTCTCATGTGTCGACGAGCCGCTCTCGTGCGGCGAAGAGAAAAACGCTCCGCTCGTACTCCTGCCGGCGCTGTTTTCTCGCGTACCTCCGTACACGGGCGTCGGGGGCCGTCGCAAAGTATGGAAACACGCAGACGTATTGCCGTTCTTTTAATTTTATTGCCGTTGATAATCTCTCAACAATGATTATTACTTTTGTCGTAAAGCTCAAGGCAATGGCTAAGTCGGCGGCTTTTACAGTTTGAGGCATCGTTCATTCTTTCCCTTTTCTCCGCTCGTCTCCGAGTGGTAGTCAGCGTCGGCACCCCGCAGAGTTAAGCGGAAAACGCATAGGTCACTGGCAGGTACAGGATCAAGGAACACGATTATCGCTGTTTTACTTAGCGCGGAAAAAGAGAGTCTGCTGCGAATTTCTCCTGCTGAATTCTCAGCCAGGTACCCGCGAGGATAATGAAGACCTCGAGCAGGGGCTTCTCGGAGACTTGAGTGATCAACGGGTACGAGCACCGGAGCAAATAGAGATGCTAAGAAAGATTGATCGAACGAACTTTATTTCAAGCCCATTCAAAAGCCAGACTTAAACTGCGAGATTTTCAGCAGCTCCCCAGACCTCACCTTGGTGTTAATTGCTCACTACAGCCCCGGCTCTTCTCGAAAACTATCCAATTAGTATTTTTCGTCAAATTATTCCCATGGTACGGATACGCGCGTATGAAAGAGATTCGGCTTCCTGATGCGAGTCGGTCTATCCCATTCTTTCGAGCCTCGACCACCCGTGAACATTTGGTGCACTTGTCAGTCCCCATGCCGCGATATCTCCTCCGAGGCTGTTAGATCAATAACAGGCGTGTTTCGGGAAGACACAACACATGGCTTTCGTTTAGATCGGAACGAGAAATCGGGCGGACGCCCGGAGACTGAGAGTGCGCATGAGTTACTGTTCTGCATTAGCTCACGCACCCTATTTTTTAGAGGCAACATTCATCAAGGCCGAATGTTCGGCGAATTTTTAAGGGCGTCGCGGATGGTGGTGACGATCGGCAGCTGACAATCTCGAGCATCCGGCACAAGTGTGAGAGCCCGCAGTGCATGCAGGCCCACGAGTGGATATATAGGCTTCCACGCGATAGAACGCAATTTATGCGGCGCATTCGATTGCGTGAGAAATCTGTTCGGGCCTCGGTATGAAACAGTTATTAATAAAGAAATCAGCGCCGCCGTCGTGGCATGTTCTTGGCAGAATCGGCTTCTCGAAAACGGAGACCGTCCAAGGCGGCACGTAACGGACGTCCGGCATTATTATTCAGCAATAATAATTTTATACGGTGCCGATTTGGCTCAGTCCCCTCCCCAACATGTCTGTTGGAGACATCTCACAACATAAAATTGATCGCTTGCAAAATTACGCCAGAGCCGTACGAAGACGCGCGGCAGCTCCAACGACGTTGGCCGCTGTAGAAACGTCGATGAAGAAGAACGGGGAGAAGCCTCCGTCGACCACCCAGCGACCTTCCCGTCGAGAAGAGCCTTTTCTCTACTTCTCTAAATAAGCGTTCACTACGGAAAATTAAGAGCTAATCTTTTTTTTGTACCACGAAACATCGGGCGCGACTGCGGCATAGGCGGCAACTAATACTTAGGAAGCAGATTAGCGGAGCTTTTTTTCGAGAGCTCGAACTCCCGGCAATTCACTCCTGATCGAGGCGTAAAGATGTCCTCGATGCTGCCCGCGGAATAGCGTAAAGGGAAGGAGCGAGATAGAACCCCTTGTTTCCGCATTCGAATCCCATTCAATCCTGCTTTACAATCGTTATCGTGACGGGTATCAATTCCTGCAGTGCGAATGCGAAAAAGTAATTTCGCATGCGAGCGAGGCTCGGAGCGAAAGTTCTCAAAGGTCGATGATTCGTCTTCGGATGGCGTTCCTCAATTCTCAATTCATGGGTCAGTCATCGCTAGACTTAGGCTTTCGGCTCCCACTACGGTCAGACGGAGTTCTCGACAAGCGTACGCTGGCTATCCTCGATCGAAAAGTCGTGTGAACGCCACGCGGACCGATTCGACCAGATACAAACCCCACTGAGTGCTCCAATAGGGGCTGTTCGACGTTCGCTCGCCTATCCTCAGTAGCCTGGAACTCATGATGACCTTTCCCCGCGGGGGGAGTATTCTATATGTGTCGATTCAGATTCTCTCATTCCCCGGTCCATAGTCGAACGTCGATTGAGCCCGACGACGAGGACCGA